GGCATGTCTTTACATTTGTAGGTCCGTAAATGTTAGGGTGGACTAACTCTAGAAGACATAAAGTCCTAGGTGCCTTTCCAGAAGGCTTCCTATAGGCATTTCTTGCAAAACAAGGCTCACATATAGGAAGACTTACATTAGCAAGATGCCCCAACAGGCCTTCTTTGCTTAGTCTAGTCATTCTGTCTTTTCCTATGTGACCAAGACTAGTATGCCAATTAACCATATTTTCATGTATCATTATCACAAGACATATAAAAATATGAGAAAAAATCCAAATCTAGCATAAATAAACCATTGGAAAGAAAACTTTGTCCATACAAGCCCTTATTCAAATAGGAATCCAACTAACTAGTACTAAAAACAAATCCTAGCAAAGTAATAATTGATAAAAGATTATAGTAGACACAAAGGGCATAAAGCACATCATGGAGAAGTAAAGTGCACCCCGGACACATCTTGAGTTGGTAAAAACCAACTCTAAGGACATCCTCTTGAGTTATATTACCCAAAGTAACGTATTACTTGCCCACAAGTATTTTTTTTGTAATCCACAAACTCAACTCCTTCGTTGACTTTGTGATAGGTTGCTTATGAGTTCTACAATCCAACAATGGAGAGAATTAGCAACACATACATGTGAACAAACACAAGTGTTTAAAGAGTTAAGTGAAAGGTCTACATTCTTTGCATCAAGGCATTCTCAAGCAAAATGACCTTGCTTCCCACAGTTATAGCACTTGACTTTAGTCTTGTTTTTATTTCTAATGCACTTGTCTCAATGGCGCTTCTCCACATTATCTCTATTAGGACCAAGGTTACCAGTTACACCATCACGTTTTCCTTGTCTGTTGCGCTTAGGCCTGAATGCCTAATGCTACCCTGCTTGGGCGCAATGACAATGCTATGGTATGACCCCAGGCACTTCGCTTCAAGCCTAAATTGCTCAAATTTCAAAATAAGAGCATGTAGCTCGATTGCAGGTGTGGTCTCATATGTAATATTTAGTTGATTCCACATGTCATGAGCAATGGAGTTTGTCTCAAACTCCCATATGAGATCATTGTGCATGCTACTAAGCATAGTATAGCGCTTGTATTGATCTTCCTTGACCCAATTCTGATGGGTCTCCATGTCATGATAATGTTGGGCATCAGTTCTTTCTTCAAATTGGATCTTAAGAGTAGTCAATTTTTCTATGACTTTTTGTTCGTTAAGAGAATATTAGATTTCATCTTTGATGAGGTCAATAACAACATCCTTAGAGGCCATTTCACTACATTGATTGCACAGGGTTCGACATTAGCACACTTTTAAAAATTTTATTCCCAAGAACACAATTGGCATACAATATTTCCACTTACTAGAGAGATTGAAAATTTCGCTAAGCTCATAAACATCTCCCTCTATGTGAGCTAAAATATGACACCCAATTAATTTTGAATAAAATTATGTAAGAGGCAAAATCATCTCTTAAATCCACAACATTACACCTTGCATAATATATATGAGTCCAAAAATGCGCTATACAATTTTGCACGTGGACTCCACTTGAAGCCCTATTGGTAATATGGTGTAACATGTTAAGGCAACCTATGTATTGGTGACAATGAAACACTTCCCCTTACATGGCTATGGAAAAATATATCCAAAATAAATAAATAATTACAACACAAAAGAATCATAATATATTGATTCTAACAAAAAAATAATAATAATAACTTGGGGAAGCTACTTCACTAATATATTTGTGGGGTCTATCTTTAACAATACAAAAATAAATAAATAAACATGTGCATAAAAATTACCAACATTACCTCAATTCATCAAAACATACATCAATAATAAATAAATGACCGAATAATAGAGGTCAAAGTACAATTCCTACTAAGGAAAAGAATATAGTCATGAAAAATTAGGACTCAAAAAACACATATTAGTTCTCAACTAATATATATTAAAAAAATCAATAAGTTAATTTCACAATTTAATAGAACAAAAATAAATGTTAAAACAACCAAAAATGAATTAACAAATTATGCATGATAATTGATGAAACAGAAAAAGAATTTTTAGAATTTTTTAAATCTTTCTGCAATTTTTAGAATTATATTTCTAATTTTTTGTAATTTTCAAAATTAAAAAATATAAACAAATGAGAATATATGAAGATAATTCAAAAATAAATAATTTGAGGACTCATAGCCAAATAGAAAAATAGAACATGTAGTGAGGATCCCCCACGCGCTGCGAGTGTAATACACACGCCTCAGGACACGTGCCATGCACCTTCACGTGCTTTGGCTGTTGGTCTGCACGTGTGGAACGTGCAGGTGCATCCACGTGCACCACGTGGCAACCTTCACGTGTGCGCTTTTGCATGCTGATTACATCAGTTGCACGTAGTGCACTGGTGTCATCACGCCAACATCTCGCCTTGTTCTAAGGTGCACCGCGCCGGTCCCAGCCGCACGAAGTCAACTTCCACGTTCTGCTGATGTCATGATGACATCAACCTTCGACTTTCAAAATCTCTGTTTTTCTCAAAATTTATCAAAAATAGCGATTTTGGCCAAAAAAATCTTTGAAAAGCCATAACGTTTTTAATTTAACTCTGATTAAAACCCATTTTATATGGATGGAAAGCTTACAAAGAGTACTTTCAAAATATGTAACTTTCAATCACAAAAAACAAATTTTTTTATACTGATTTTTGAGATAAAAATATATGCTCTAATGGAGTTTTAACAAAATTAGGGTTTTCAAAATCTTTTTTAACATGCCAGGATATTCAACAATGTTTAAGCATATAATATTGAATTAAACATGAATAAATCAAATCTATGGCATGCAAATCATGAGGCGAAAACAAGAAATAATGTCTCTGATACCAATGATGGGAAAAGATGCAGGTAATCATATTACCTGAAGCGAAAACAGTTTGGATCGGATGTTTGAATTATGAGCCTCGTCTAGAAAACCCTAGCTACTAGGTTCTATAATAGTGACCTAAGAGGGAAGAATAGAGAGAGAAATATTTTGTACAGATTTTTCAAGTAAACTCCCACAACAATAATACGTATATTATCTTCTCTATATCAGATATATAGAGATTCTCTACTGATAGAGGTGGAGTTGTAGTCTCCCACAACAACTTAAACACCTCTTTAGATAATCCTCTTAATTATAAATCATGTGAATTATCAATAACCCATGTGGACGCACCATGGGTTATGAGTCGGTTCAAATCCAACCCAATTTCCAACAATATACATATAGCCAAAGATCTTATGTGGTTGATTACCTTTTAAGAAAGAACAAACTCATCAACAAACAGAGGAAACAAAAATATAAAATAAAATAAAAAAGAGGAGCATAATGTTTCATTTCTCCTAATAAACTTCATGGGTTTATGAATCAGCATTCAAGAAATCAGGATGAGAACATGTGGGCCTTGAGATACGAAGAATAAAATAGTGACCGCCAACTTCGGCCAGCGGGGATGCCAATGAGCCCCTCCCTTTCACACAGGAGGATTTAGAAACCTCGTGTTTATTTGTGTGTGATGCAGTGATATGCAGCTACTATATATGTTTGGCCCCTGCAAATTTTTTGACCGCAACAAAAACATAATCCTTCCCACATAAAATAGAATTGAGCCTAGTCAAAGCATAACTCAAGACTTATAAAAGTGGGGCCCAGTAAGCAGTAGTTGCTAGTAGTTTTAATGGATTTTATTAATGTGTGTTTTAAAGCACATATTAAAAAGTTTTATAATATTGTATATTTCGAATGAAAGTGTAATAAAAAAAAATGTATAATTTATCTCTTTTAACATTTGTCTTAAAGACATACGTTAACAATGCCTATTTTTATTAAACTAATAAAAAATTTATATAATTTTACAATTTTTATTTTTTTTTTAAATTTGACTACTTGGAGGTATATATTTTATTTTTTTAGTCAATAATGTTTTATTTCAACCATTGTAAAAATTAAGCTTGTTGGCCAGTTGAATTTGTTTTTATAGCACAATGAAATAATCAAATTATTTTAACCAATCTAATGGGATTTGTTTTCAAAATTTTAATGCTTCACTTGCCCATTTTCTTAATAAATTTACACACTCTCTACTTTCTCTTCGCCCTTGTGAAGATCAAGGGATCGAGAAAGAGACCCACTCCTCCGCCACTTCCTTCATCCCCACATTTGATTAGTTTGCTTGTTGCTCCATCTTCGTCACAGACATCGTCGCCGTCCAATCCATCGCCATTGAGTTTGCTTTAGATATGCTTCAAATCTTTTTTCTATTATTATTTTATGGTTTTCGCGACAATCGGAGCAGAGGCGGAGGGAGATAGAGAGGGGAAGGGGGAGGGAAGGGGAACAATTGGGTTTCAAAAGAAGATGGTGAGTTGAGAAACCCCAAACCCAGATGAGAAAGTGGGAGTTTTTCGGGTAAATAAAGATTTTCTAGAGAAAATCTTGAAATGGATCACTAATCTTTCTGGGTTTGGTGATTGAAGATGAAGAGAAGGGTAGAAATGTATTTTAATATTTTCATTTTATCTTAATTTGAAAAGAAAAATAGGCCCACTCTCAAATATGGTGAGTGTATTATAAATAGCTTGGACGAAAAAAGTAATCGTTGCACTTTACTCCCAAACCACAAGAAGGCTAAGTGGTTATTTCTAAATGATAGGGAGTAAAGTATAACTGGTCTAAACCATAGGGATAAGGCGGATGTTGCCCAAACTTAAAAAATAATGATAATGATGATATATAACATAGCTGTTGATTTATGATTGCATGTCACTCCAGTAAAGTGAACTATTCTATGTTAATTTAAATATTATTCAACAATTAACCATAATGCCATTAATTTGGTTCAACTTGAAACTGACTCCTTCTCCTCCTCCTAGTGATGTTGCAATATTTTATTTTATTTTTATTTCCTAATGAATTGGGGTCTTAATCTTTGTTTTAAAAAAAAATTGCAGTTCTTCTTGAGACAGCATTGAAGTATGTTTCATCTCTTTTGGATGCACCTGACATAAGAGGGAAGAAACCTCTCTCATATGCAGCATCCATAGGTTATGTTGATGGGGTTTGCTACATCCTAGACACATTTGTTGATTGCACATACAAAAGAGACGGTGATGGGTCTTATCCCATTCATGAGGCATCGAGCCAAGGCCATATTGCAGTTGTTAAGGAGTTTCTACGACGTTTTCCAGATTCAAGAGAGTTGCTAAATGAACAAGGACAAAATATTCTTCACGTTGCTGCTGAGAGTGGGAAAGCCAACATTGTTAGTTATATGCTTAAAAACCATGAGCTTGAGATGCTTATCAATGACACAGACGAAGATGGAAACACCCCATTGCTTTTGGCCACGAAGAATGCTCATGCTGAGATAGTGAGCATTTTGACATGGGACAAGAGAGTTAGGTTAGAGATAATGGATCGCAATGGCTTTACTGCTTTAGAAGCTGCTCTCAATTACGTGGGGCACACTCCTTCAATTCACCAGGTATTATTATTATTATTATAATTAATGATTCGTCTATACAATTTTTTTCATCTCAATCTGTCTGAATGAGATTCTTACCTGTAAGAATCTCAATTATATAGATTTGAACCGTAAAAATTGTGTAGATGTAGTGGTGCTATATTATTATTATTATTATTATTAAAAGTAGGGCAAAATTAAATATGAAACCAAAAAAAAATATCATCATGAGAAATTGGTAAATTTAACTTGGTTCGGCCAATATAGCCTACGTCCACCGATCTTTCCTGTTTGTTTATTATATTATTCATGTGATTAAGGGTTATTTTGGATATGACTTAGAGCAACTCCAATTATACTCTTCATTTTTCACTAGCTATATATATATATATATTATTTATTTTACCTAATTCCTTTTTTATCTATGCACTCCAACTTTACTTTTTATTTACCTATCTATAGACACAAACTATTTAAAGACCTTCAAAATCTCTTCAAATGTAGTTGGCCTTGAAATTTTTTGTTAATATAGTTATTGTAATAGCTAACATAGTTATTGTAATAGTTAGTTCATTAGAGTGACTAAAATATGCTGATGCTAACTATAATAGCTAACATGTTTCATTTAAAGAGTCCCTTAGAGATACTCTTATAAGCTAATTATTTTACTTATTACGAAAAGATGTGTAGAAAAAAATAGAGGTGATATTAATCAAATAAGCTAATAAACTAATTTTTTTAGATGTTGCCAAAAGAGAATTAAATATTATCTACTATCACTAAAATAATAATGGTTACACAAAATATATCCAAATAGAGGATTTATATAAAACCAACTGATATGAAGTAATGTTTCTTTCTTTAAGAAGATTCTAGTTTTCTACGGCCGGTAATTTTTTGAAGCATCAGATGTAGTATAATATTTCAAATGGCTTGTCTCTCCCAATATATAACAACCTGACTATATGTCGTGTTGATTTAAATTGTTTCTGCATAAGAAGTTAAACCCAAAATTCTGTAGTACAATTGTGTATTTAAATAAAGTAAGTAGATTTATATTTAATTAAATTACAAAATAAGAAATCATGGGACTAAATCATACAACATGATGAATAGAAATATTCAAAAAAAAAAAAAAAAAAAAACACTGAAATAGAATAGTATTGGAAACAAACCAAAACCTGTGTGATACCATAATCTTCTTAAAACAGATTCGTCACCTCATCGTTGGTGCTGGGGATATGTCAGCGTCTGTCACCCAGGATATGACGGTTAGAACCAGCTAACGCAAAAGTACCTTCTGTTTAACTCCGACGAATTGACAATGATAGCACTCTCTTACACAGGAAGAAGAATACAGAAGTACATTGACTGTATAATATGAGAGCCAAAAATTTTGTGCTCCAATCAAAGAGGATGGTCTCCTGTTATACACAATGGGGGAGAGAGGAGAAGCGTTCCAACTATGAAGGCAGGTAACAAATGCAGCCAATTACTCATACAAAACTGATGGAGTAATGCACCAAAACTGATGGGACATATGTGTAAGTTACACACAATATACACATGTATGTATATATATCAGCAGCTACCTAACAGACTTTGCCCAAAAAGATTAGGTTGGTGTACCACCAATTTAGCCCAACTGAAACCTAATCCATTCCAACAAGCCTCAAGCCTTAAACTCAAGCCCAAGTCCCAAGATCCACGATCCACAACCCACAACCCATGGTTCATGAACCACCAACTCGAACTCAGCTCCGGCCCAGTCTAGTCTGGGCGAGCGGTGCGCACTTACGAGCTCGCATGTGGCAATTGTTTCATAACTAACTTGGACCATAGTTTGGCCCAAGCCCATCCTCGAAGCATCCATAACTCCCTTCCTTTAGAAAATTTGGATGCCCTAAAAGGCTCATGCCCTTATCCAAAGTTTGAGATTTAAATACCTATCAATGCTTTCCTCTGCAATCAATGTGGGATAAGTAGTCATACACTATTCCCAATACCTCATTCATGAGGCCAGCTTTATCAGACAATTTCTGATTCAATTCTCAATGATTTTTGGTCATTCTTTTTGTGGTGTAAAGATTTTGTTACAAAAAATCTAAACCCATTTGATCCCACTTCAACTGGTGGTTGGGACCTACTTTAATTTCATATTAAAGTCATCATAAAACTTTTTTTTTTAACAATCCCTCACATGAATAAAATTGACCGAAAAAAAAAAAACAGATAATGTTTAAGAGCAAAGACTTGGAGAGAGAGCACATAGACTAACCCTGTATTAGAAAAGGTAGCTGTTGGCCTTGAACCTTTCATAGTGAAAGCCTATCGGATTTAGTGACTGACCAGTGAATGTGACATCTTGAATTGTTCTGCCGTTCATGTAAACCCAGACACCAGACTTCACATAAGAGTTAGTCCAACCATTATTCTTGTTCTCACTAGTGTGTTTGATATGGCCATGGAATACTAGCCTGGTTCAGTGAGTGCTTTTAAAGAATTCGGCCTTGTCAATTCTTAAAGAACCGACCCCACTTTGCACTCACATAAGTGACCTATATAAGATATCTCACTATACAACGGTTGACTATTCACATCACTTAGGTCATTAAAAGCAATAGCTTAACTGTCCACCCTGTCAAGGTATCACTGTATAAAGGAATGGATAATAAGATTTACCTCTTCAGTGACTCACCGGTTACACGCAGTTAGGTTATCCTTTTGAACCTAGATCTTGGGTTTTCCGTTCCGGCCACATTAACTAAAGGCCTCAACCCCATTTCTCTTTTTTTTTTTTTTTTTGATCAGCAAAAAGAAGCTATATTGATGTAAAATAGCACAAGGTACAAAACAATACACCAATAAAGAGAAGGGGAGAGCAGGAGCATCACAACGAGCTGAATGATCCCAACTAGGTTGGCACCAAAAAACTCGAACTATCATTTGCTAGCACCCCCGAGTTGGAGAGAAACCAACAAGGAAGAAAGAAACCAAAAACAAAGAAAAAGGGACACCAGCTGCAAACTTCACCAGCTAAGCTGAAAACAATTCTCTTTGATCAACATGATAGGAAGCTCCTAGCGATGACTTCTCTCACAAACAAACAGCCCGAAGCACAAGACAGCACAAGACAGCAGGATCACACAGACCAAAGACCAGACCAGCAGCAGACCACTGGCCAATCCAATGCAAATTACACTGGAGAAGCCACTGCCATTGAAGAAACCTTGATCCACATCTTGACAGCCCAAACACCAAACCAGGACAGGTTCATCTTGATCCACTTCTGGTACTGTGACTAATAGTTAACATGACTAGCATATGGTCTGGTCTATCTATGTGATGGTTAGCATTAGCATTAGATGCACCCCCCACAATACATGAACCAGACTATTCATCAAGCATTATTTTCCCCACCAGCAGCCTACAAAGGTTTGAAGCATATCTGAAGGCAATCCATAACAACATAACCCTGCTGCCTAATTTGCACTCCTGATTTGCACCAACTGATTCAGCATCTGATCTGATTCCATTTGAACAAATAATCATCAACTGAGAGAGGAAAGTCCTTTGAAGTAGCTTTAAGCCAAAGAACAGTTCTGGTTTTGATGAGATCATATAGACCGAAGGAATTGGGCTGAGACAAAGAAAAGACACACTCGTTCCTATGTTTCCAGAGAGACCACAGAACCACTAAGGGTATTGCTCTCCAGATTTTCTTCTCGAGCCTCTTTAATTTTCCACCCATCCACCAGTAGAGAAGACCTTCTTGACGACCACTACAAGAAATTTCACTTTTTGTGACTAAAATTTTAGTCGCCAAAAGCCTTATTTTAGTCGCCAATTACTTTTGATGACTAATATATTTGGTCGCCAATAGTTCATCGAAGAAGACAATCTGCGACTAAAATTTTTTTGGTAGCTAAAAGTGACCAATCGGCAACTAAAACTTTAGTCGCCATATATTTTTTAAAAATAATTAAATATATTTATTTTTTACTTTTAGCGACTAAATTATTTAGTAGCCAATTGAGCATGTATGTTTGGCGACTAACTATTTGGTAGCCAAAAGTTTCACTTTTTGAGAATTGATGACTAAAAATTTAGTAGCCAAAAGTTTCCTTTTTACAATTGGCAACTAAAAGTTTAGTAGCCAAAAGCCAACATGTGATATTTGTTTAGTCACCAAAAGATCTCATTTAGTTTTTATAATTTGTTCTGTAATATTTTTTGCATCACCTGTAACCTATGCACGTACAAAATCATTCATCAATTCATCCATTCATTCATTCAATTCTTATCTATTCAATAAAAATATTTCTCCACAACCTGTACCATTCAATTTTCAACCATATACAAAACTTAACTATTAACCGTACATATCAAAGAAAATACGAATCCATAAACATAGTATAATCCACCAAATACATATACTATCCAAACCAACAATTAAAATCCAAATTTAAAAAAATCTTAAGAACAAAACATATCAGGTGTACATGTTTTCTATAAACAAAAATATAATGTAAATTGCGCCCATGCAAACATCACATTCTCGTCATCTTCATCTAGGAACTTGAACTAATTACATTGCACATTTGTCTTGTCATCCTGCAATGCATGACAATATCAATTACGATTACAAAAAAATTTGTAATGCATGTTATAATATTACTCAAAACAGGAAGCCCATACAAACATGAGACAAAACAAAGAAACCGTATGCATCAAGTTGGTCATTGCCCTATGCAATATCCATATACTTCCTGAGCATATCCACAAGCTTATACTCTTTCAAAATAAAAAACCATACCAAATTATGGGATTGTGACCATCTAAGCTGAATTATGATTAATCATATAGTAAATGGAAAGAACTAGAGCAACTACCATTGATGAGAAGAAGCTGACTAACCTCAATTTGATGTCTACCACAATAAGTAAATAAATAAAGAAGAAAAGAAAGAAAATAAACATATTTGATATTTTGTATTCCAACTGCACATATGATCATCAACAGTAAATTACTGAGTTTTTGGGCAGAATCATGTTAAG